CTACAATCTGGTGCGTGTCCAACTCAACTCAATTCATAGTGTTTGCATCAACTCAATCCAACTCAACGACGATATCTCGCGTAAAATCGCTGGCAATAGTGGTCTCCTACATCACCCTCTCAAACAAACCCGAACAAAATTCGCTACACTTATCGTTCTAAATGGTTCTTTATTTGAGCATCGAACTCTTTCTAAGCTTTTATATGGTTCCTTTGTTTTAATTTATCACCATATCGTTCATACAAATTTTCTAAAGCCAGTAGGTAATTTTCTTTATTTACCATGAAGTCACTTATTTGTTCTCTTGCTTCTCCTTTCAAACTGCTTAACAGATGCATGAATTTTCGTGTGGACGTTAAATCCGTTGTGAATTGATTCTTCAAACTCGCTGATAAACTGGCCCCACATTCTCGGGTCGCCATCAAATTCTACCGATTTTAAAGTCGGTGGTTTACTGGTCGTGATTATCTTAATTAAATCTTCTGGACTCTTTTGCTCCTCTGCTATTGGTGGTTCATGATCTGCTTTTTCATATTTCATTTTAACTTCTATGATTGTTTTACTTATTCGATTTAGTTTCATAAGGAGTGAAGCTCTTTCACAATAAAGCTTATTTCCTTTGTCAAACAGACAGTATCCCTCATACAAACAATCTTCATATGATGCAACGTTATTCTGCCATTCATCATCATTTGCTGGGCGTAGCAATTCTTTCCACTCTATCTCCAAATCATTTGCCTTGGAGATTATACCGTCACTATTACTTGTTTCTCAACATCAGATTTTTGTCCCTTTAGCCATTCCACCGTTCTTTCGTAACTTAATCCTTCCGATAAATCCTTTTCTCGTAGTTCTATTGCTTTTTCGAAAACCTTTCTCGCAGTATTCTCAAGACACTTCAAATTTCTTGTAATGAGATAGGAAAGAGAACTTTCCTTCATTGAATCTTTTACACGCATATTTCTATTTCGACCATTTTCAAGCCTTGTTACGAGCTGATGTAAGAATTATTCTCTTCTTTCTTGATTGAATAAGACTTACTCGCTTCTTTCTTGATCGAGTAGGACTTACTCGCTTCTTTCTTGATCGGACAACACTTACTCGCTCCTTTCTTGGTCGAATAAGACTCACTTCTTTCTTGATTGGATAAGACTCACTTTTTTCTTGATCGAATGCTTAGGCCGCTTCTTTTTTAATCGAATCCTTAGATCGTTTCTTTCTCAATCGAATCCTTAGGTCGCTGGTTCTAAACCGGCCGGCTGGATCAAATTTTGTTGCCGATTTTCTTCAACCGTGACAAAACTGAGGGTTCTTTCTGTCTCTTTAGTTGCTAGTGCTGCAAACTTGGGTAATTAAACTTTATTGCGATAAATTTATCAATATAACAACGAACTTGCAATTACGACATCGATACAACAAATTGATAACGAAAACTAAACGAAAAGATTAAATCACGCCTGATATCCTCCAACCAACCGACCTGTCGAAACGCATCTTTAGAAATGATTTGACGCTCAGGATGGTCCGTTTCTCCGAGTGGGAGGGTGCTTGTACCGCTTGTGATTACAAGAATTAGCTTCCTCATGGAGCGCACATTGTAGAGAGTTAAGACGACATGGGCATATACAGCAAAGATGTCTGGCTTTCAACAAGGAGATTATTGTTCCTTTGTTTCCATTCGCCATATCAGCGATAAAGCAGATGATAACGATTCGTCAACAAACTCGATAATGCCTCAAGTAGATAAAGAAGTTTTACTTCTATGGAAAAAGGTAAAGGTCTTTAACCCAGAAATGCTTGTTTTCCAAAGAAAAGCTCCAGCATTTTTTGACATTGGTTCACAATTATCATTCATATCAGAAGAACTAGCAAATTAGCTGAAAGTAACTAAAGCTGAAGAACAATAGCTTTATTTGGGAATTAAGTACCCATTTAACGTTTTTTAATTAAAATACGAGTTGGAGTATTAATCAGAGAAGAAGCGATAACAATCGAGATCAATGTAATACAGCATGTTATGAAATGATCGAACAACCAATTACGAATGCTAATAATAATTTCCATGATTTAAAGGGATATCGAAAACAACCTAACATGCTTATTGGAGCTGATTACTTCTTCAAATTTATTCGATTGAAAGGAATTCAACTGAGTTCAGGCTTCTCATTGCTTCAATCAAAAATTGGATTATGTTAGTTGAAAGTGGAGATATAAGCGAACTAATTAATATTTCACTAATAACTAATATTTACAAGCAATAATCCAACGTGTGGCCAACGTAACTCGTAAACCAGATATAAATCAGTTCTGGAGATTGGAATTCATTGGAATTAATGAATCACCAAGTGCTCATGATGATGAGCAAGCACTGCAACAATTTAAAAAAGGTACCACCAAAGACAAAGGAAGATTTAATTAAAAAAAGTACCACCAAAGACAAGGGAAGATACCAGGTTCGCTGGCAGCGGAAGGAACTGAATGTCAAATTAAGCGCTAACTTTAGGTTATGCTTTGGACGTGTGAGAACGCTGATTAGAAGACTTCAACAAAATCAATAACGACTTCGGTAGTGTGATGGAGTGATCTGCGTTCCAATATAATTGAAGAAGTACAACCCAATATGGACCGTGCTGGTATAATTTTCATTACTTGCCTCATCATGAAGTAGTAAGTCCACCAAAAGTACAATCTAAAATATGTATATGATGCTTCGGCTCATCTTAAAGGAACTAAGAGTTTAAATAATGTGTTATATGGGAGTCCAATATCATTTCCACATTTGGTACTACTTCGTTTTAAAATGATGAAAAAAGTAATAACGGCAAATATAGAAAGGACCTTCGTACAACTGGAGTTACATCCCGAAGAGAGTAATGCACTCGATTTTTCTGGTTGAAGGACATCAACCGTGAAATATCCGGACAAAATCTGAAATGTTATCGATTTCGAAGAGTACCCTTTGGAATAATATTATTTCCCTTTTTACTATATTTGCTGCACTCGATTATCATTTGGAGAATATAGGGAGTGATATAATGATAGAGATAAGAAAAAACCTTTAGTGATACCCAAACATGATAGAGCACAACCAGACCAAAGAAAAATCCTTGGTATTAAATGAATGAACGATCGGGACAATATCAAGGCAATTTTATGACCGTGGTCCGAAAAAAAAACAACGAAGAGAAAATCTTGCAATTTCTTGGCCTCTCAATATGACCCACCGGAATTTCTGGTCCCTATCACGATAAGAATCAAATTATTCCTCCAACAGTTATGGTGAAACAACAACACATGCAACCATATCATGAATGAAGGAGATAAAAAAAGAGTGGAAATCTCTTATCATAACTGTCAAAGAATTTAAAAGAATTACCAAGGTTAGTAACTATACCACCGAGGCATCTGGAATCTCATGTTTTCGCGGATGCTTCAGGTGTAACATATTCAGCGG